CACCACACACACACACACACACACACACACACACCAGGCAGGGCGGTCCAACATCACACACACACACACACACACACCATCAGGCAGGGCAGTCCAACATCACACACACACACCCCCCACCAGACAGGGCATCCCCACATCACACACACACACACACCGCCAGGCAGGGCGGCCCCAGCATCGCACACACAGCGCCCCACCTGCTTGCAGAGGGAGTGAGGCATGTCCTGCGTGACCCCCGCCCCAGGAGAGGCCTCGACAGCCTGAGCCTGATGTCCCTGGACTCGGGCGCAGGCACCTTTCCCTTGCCTGATTTTACTCGGTATCCTCTCCTGTGGGAAGTCATAGCCGTGAGTACCACCACCTGCGCGACCTGTGGCCTCCTGGAGTATCACCCCCCTGGGTGGTCTTGGGGACCCTGACACAGGCCCCAGGCTGTTCTTTGCAAGCGAGGACAATGCTGTCCTCGGACAGTACTGGGTGCATTTCTGGTGACACTTCCTTTGACTCCTGCTTCAGAGCGGGTGGAGACAGAGAAGGAGGCTGTGAGGCCAGGGCATCGTGGGTCTCATGAGGAGCAGAGCCGTCCTGCACCCTCTGGTGGCCACAGAGGCTGTGGCCTGAAACTCTGGCGTGAGTCTGGAGCACCAGCTGGAAAGGAATTAGCCCCTCCATGCCCTGCCTGGCAGACTTCTGCCCCTACCCCGGCCCCAGTGCAGAGGTGTAGGGCTGCAGAGCCCCACAGGGTCGTGGGGTGTCCCTTATGCCGTGTTGAGGTGCAGGATCTGAGAGGTAAAGAGACAGGACACTGAAGAACTGGGGAAGAGCATCTGGACTCCGGGGCTTGCCACCTGTGAGTGGAGATCAGCGGCGGCCCCCAAATGCCCAGAAGCATCTGTATTTATTAGGTACAAGCAGGAGGCAGGGTCATGAGTGAGGCCATCATCTACAGGCTTAGTAATAGGGCATACATAATCACGTGAGTCACAAGCGAGTGGACCACCCCATATGTCACCTGGGCCGAGAGGTGGGCTGTGCACAGTAGGGGTCCGTGCCATGCGCAGTAGTAGAGGGTCGTGTACAGAAAAGGGGTCCACCCCCCATTAGGTCACTGAGGCAAGGAGGTGGGCTGTGTGCAACAGGTGTCGTGCGCAATACTTCTTATCTGGGGCTGGAGACTTCAAAGGATTTCTAATAGAAGGATACTGTAAGCCAATGCAGTGGGAGCTGACAGACTTGTGCTCTTCTCTTAAGATATTTATGGGAGGATGATTTGAGCTAGCACAGAAGTGAGAAAAGACTGACAGGGTGTACAGCCACTGTGACTGGTCACACCAGAGGGATTCTTCTCCCTCAGTTACTTCCAGGATCTCAGGCCTGAGGCCTACTTTCCACAGGAACTGGATGCAAGGTGCTACAATTCCTTTATCAGGAGGAGAGGCTCCTGCTCCAAGCCTGCCATACAGCGTATGCCCTTTCAGGCAGGGACGCCACCGCCTGGGTCTCTGGTTCTTGTCCTGGTCTGGCTGTTTTCCCATGTACTGCTTCTGTTCTGTGACTGCTCTAGGCATTCCTCCTACTACAAACTACTATACGGTTGTATGGAAGGATTCTATAAATCAGCACTAAATGTGTCAGTGCAGCTCCGACTACAATACCTATATGATCATATAGAAAGATTATACGGAACTAAGTATGTTAGATATAAGTATTAAGTACGTCTATAAACTAAACTAGACATATAAACTAGTTTAGTATATAAACTAGGCATATGTAAGCAATAAGTTACACTTCAAGTACTAACTAATACATGATTATATATGAAGGATTACATAAAGGAAACGGCTGAGCAATGACACTACAAACTAAGATATTCTTCAGGCACTAGTTGTGCCTGGGGTCTGGGCAGTTCTTCCTCGGTGCCCAGGGGAGTTGTTACCCACACAGAAGAAGTGAGCCAGGCTTCCCTCTGGCACCAGGGCTGCACCCTGAGTCGGGAGCCGGGGCTTGCCTCACTGGCTCCCCTCTGGCTCTCCAGGAGGCACCAGGAGACCACATGGTGAGGCCCCCAGCTACAGGCACCTGAATCCCACAGACGGCAAGACGCAGGGGCCTTGCTCAGAGAAGCACATCCTCCTCTGAGGATCCCAGACTCGGTTCCTCTCCTAGGGTGTGGCCCCAGCAAGCATCCAGGCATGTGAGCCTCTGTGCTAACACACCCCTGCATGCCAGGGTGAACTTCAGGGAGGTGTGCTGTGGAGGCGAGACATCAAGTTCCTTTCCAAGGGCAACAGCTGGAACTTCAGAACCTCCTGCAGAGGAAGGGCGTGCCAGCACGCTGGGCGGAGGGAAGTGGCCTCCTCCCAGGGGCCATTCCTGGCCGCAGCACAGAGGCTGATGGTGGCTGAAACTGCCCTTTGTCACCTGGACATTCACCATCTGCCCCCGGTCAACAATGCCTACTGCCCTCGTTGGTGGAAGAACCAATGTCTCATAAAAAATGCAAAAGGCACAGATCATTAGAGAAAATACTGACAATCCTGAATGTGGTAAAATGCACACAAAAGCACAAGTCTTGTCCCAGAGAAGCCACCTGTGGGGCACTGCAGGGAGACTGTGGGCTCACTGTCTCCCTCCTGGGCATGTGGGCTGGCAGCTTCCAGCCACCTGCCGTGAATTAGGGCCACACGATGAGTTTCTATTGGCTAAATGTGGCGGGGAGATATCTGCACTTCTGGGCCACAGATTCTTGAAGCCCTTCTGCTTCTCCTCCGTGCCAGGCTATCTTGAAGGCTCACATGCCAGAAAGTGGGTCTGCACGGTAGGGGCGTGGCGTGCTTGGATGGCAATGTGAGGAGTAGGGAAGGCTTTGCTGGCTTCAGCCACTGACGTGTTGACTTTGTTGGTTTCTGAACCAGCACTGATTACCTTCACCAACAGCATGTAACGGGCAAAGGATTCAAATTCAGAATGTATAAAGAAAACATAAAAAGAAATGAATAAAAGAGATGGAAATATACCATTATAGGATAAGATGGCCAATGGCCCAAAATCCTAGGACAAGATAGCCAGTCTCACCAACAATCGAGACACCATGCACAAAAATTAACTAGGGGCCAACCCAGACTTGAATGTCTAAGATAAAGTCATGAGCTGTCTATATAAGATCATATCATCAGCAGAGACAGTCTCGTTTCTTTCTTTCCTATTAGAGTGCCTTTTATTTCTTTTTCTTGCCTAACTGCTCTGGCTAGAACTTCCAGCACCACATTAAATAGAAGCGACAAGAGTGGGCATCCTTGCCTGTTCTTGATCTTAGAGAAAGAGCTTTCAGCTTTTCACCACTGAGTATGGTGCCGGCTGCAGGCTTGTCACATATGGCCTTTATCATGATGAGGTGCATCTCTTCTGTATCTATTTTCCTGAGAGTTTTAATTATGAATGAATGCTGAATTTTGTCAAATGTTTTTTCTGCATTTATCTAGATGATCATGTGGTTTTTGCCCCTAATTTTGTTCATGTGATTTATCACAGTTATTGATTTATGTATGTTGAACCATCCTTGAATCCCTAGGATAAATCCCACTTGGTCATAGCAAATGATCTTTTAAATGTGCTGTGTAATTCAGTTTGCTGGTCTTTTTTCCAGAATTTTTGCATCTATATTCATCAAGGATGTTGGCCTGTAGTTTTCCTTTCTTGTAAAGACTCTACCTGTTAGTCTTCAGACTGTTAGGACTGATAAGCAAATTTAATAACGTTGCAAGTTACAAAATCAACATACAAAAATTAATAGCATTTCTATATACTAACAATGAACAATGATCCAAAAAAGAGATTTAAAAAAATTCCTTTTACAATAGCATTAAAAAGAGTTTAGAAAAATATTTAACCAAGGAGGTGAAATATCTGTACACTGAAAATTATAAAACATTAATGAAAGAAACTGGAGAAGATGCAAATAAGTGGGTAAATGTCCCATATTCATGGATTGCAAGAATTAATATTGTTAAAATGTCCACATTATCTAAAGCTATCTACAGATTCAATGCAATCTCTATCAATTTCAATATCATTTTTACAAAGAAATAGAAAAGAACAATCCCAAAATGTATATGAAA